GGTGGAAAGGTTAGTTTGGTTTCAGACACTTCATTCTGCTTTTTGAGACAGAGTCTCCTCTGCCCCTGGGCTAGATGAGTGCCATGGCATCACAGCCTAGCTCACAGCACCCTCCAACTCCTGGGCTCAAGCCATCCTCCTGCCTCAGCCTCCCAAGTAGTCACCTGGACCCCCATCCCCACCTGGACCCCCATCCTCAACTGGAATCCCATCTTCACCTGGAATCCCATCCCTACCTGGACTCCCTTCCTCACCTGGACTCCCATTCCCACCTGCAATCCCATCCCCACCTGGACTCCCATCCCCACCTACAATCCCATCCCCACGGACAATCCCATCCCCACCTGGACTCTCATCCCCACCTGGACTCCCATCCCCACCTGGACCCCCATCCCCACCTGGACTCCCATCCCCACCTGCAATCCCATCCCCACCTGGACCCCCATTCCCACCTCTAATCCCATCCCCACCTGGACTCCCATCCCCACCTACAATCCCATCCCCATAGACAATCCCATCCCCACCTGTAATCCCATCCCCACCTGGACTCCCATCCCCACCTGGACCCCCATCCCCACCTGGACTCCCATCCTCAACTGGAATCCCATCCCCACCTGGAATCCCATCCCCACCTGGACTCCCTTCCTCACCTGGACTCCCATCCCCACCTGAAATCCCATCCTCACCTGGACTCCCATCCCCACCTGAACTCCCATCCCCACCTGCAAACCCATCCCCACCTGGACCCCCATCCCCACCTGGACCCCCATCCCCACCTGGATCCCCATCCCCACCTGGACTCCCATCCTCACCTGGACTCCCATCCTCACCTGGACTCCCATCCTCACCTGGACTCCCATCCTCACCTGGAATCTCATCCCCACCTGGACACCCATCCCCACCTGGACTCCCATCCTCACCTGGACTCCCATACCCACCTGGACTCCCATCCCCACCTGGACTCCCATCCTCACCTGGACTCCCATCCTCACCTGGAATCCCATCCCCATCTGGACTCCCATCCCCACCTGGACTCCCATCCCCACCTGGACTCCCATCCTCACCTGCAATCCCACCCCCACCTGCAATCTGGAGGTCTCTGCACCTGCTGTATCCACTTCTCCCTGACTCCTGTGACGATGGGGCCAGCTCCAGGGGCCGTGCATGGTGGGTCTTTGAAGGGGGCACCTTCTCTGCTGCCCAGTTGGACATGTGGCCCTGCCCGTGTGCCCCACAGACCCCAGAATCCTGCTGTCCCCCCCAGACCCCAACCCAGGCCTCCCAGCCTGCCTCCCGCCCACCCTCCCAGACCCTCGGCCCGTGCCCTTGGAGAGCCAGGCTGCCTCCCTTCCTCCGGGCCCCGAGCCCTGTCTCCAGCAGAGCAAGGGCTGCCCGGCAGCAGAACAACCTTCACCAGGAACAATATTATCTCTTCAAATGTAGCGTGGCGCGTCGGATGGCTGGCTCCCCAGCTCCCGTCTGACCCGAAGACACGCGGTGTCATTATTAGCGGTGCGTGCAGTCCCAATGATGCCGGCCGCGGGGCAGCCGGGCATGCAGAACGACCAGGCAGAGGGCGCAGCCAGCCAGGGAGCCGGTGGCGGGGGTGGCGGGGATGAGGAGGACATGGATGGGCACACCAGCAGGCACCGGCCCCCCACTCGTGACCGCAGGGGAGGCAGTGAGACCCCGCCAGGCGCCCGACCTCCACCTGGTCCCCCCAATCTTGGGGCGACGAGGGCGAACCTAATACATCCAGAGAAGAGCACCGTGCACTCGGAAAACAGAAGTTTAGCCACAGCCACGACAGCCTAAAATGTTGCTCTTGCTCCCCCAGATTTGATTCTTTTTACGCGTTGACAATTTTTGCCAAACCTTTTGTCAAACAAGATCCTGTACTGGTGGGCTCGGGAGACAGTCGCGTACGGAGAGGCAGAAAGGAACAATCTCACCCGAGTCCTCACCGTGACGGGAGACATTGGGGACGGAATTCGGTGCAGCAGGAGGGATCCTGTTGCTCTGAGATCCGACCGGGGCCACTGGATACCCCGGCTGCAGTGACCATCACCCCGGCCATCCTGCCCAGCCCCTGTCCCCCCGTGGGGACATGGTAAGAAATCACGGGGCACCAGGCAAATTTCTGAGCCACTGGGTGTGGGGGTTTTGGCTACACTGTTTTTTTGTTGTTGTTTTTTTTTTTTACTCTGCCTTTGAGTGCAATTTGGAAAATCACACGGTTAACCGGACCCACCCGCTCTCATCCTGAGGCACTCTGAACAGCAGAGCCCAGAGCTGAGCCGACGCCCGGACGTGCACACGGCTGACACAGACGCTGTGCTCCGTGCCCTCTCTTGGCCAGGCGAGTGTTCCCACGGAAACAGACCATGAATGAGTGTCATGCACCTGTGACTTGCAAAGCCCTCAGATTCACGCTTTTGAACAAAAGGACGTCCCTAAACCTAATATTTCTTCGGAAGCAGGCTGCTGGAGAAAGCAATACCAGCGAGAGCTGCCTCGCCATTCAGAAAAGCAAACTCGTGAGAAGGGGAGACCTCGGCACACGGCAGGACCCGTGGGGGGGACTTCCGCGGGGGAGCGTCCAGATGGCGGTGGCAAGTCGTGGCCGCCAGGGACCGGAGCACCTCGAGCTGGCAACCCTGAAAAGAACATCCTCGAATGTCAGGATGCCTCTCGCAGGTGCCTGAGAAATGGTGCGTTTCCGCTGTTCTCCAACAGTAAGTCTCGGGCCGAGGGTGGGGAGCACATTGACCACCGGCCTCGTCGCACCTGCCCGGGTTCCAACCTGCAGGAGGGGACCATGTCCATGAGTCAGTCCAGCCAGGCACTCAACCCACACCTTCAAGCTGTGCAGGTCACCTCAGTTTCCACTTGTGTAACAAAAAAGTACCATTCGCACCGGAGCAGAGCCTCCAGTCCCCAACGACAGGTGCATGTCCTCACCCAGCCGGCCTCAGCTCACGGATACAGCACACACGGGACAGACTCTGGGCTCAGCCTCCTCTCCTCCTCCAGGGAGCCCAGAGAAGGGCGTTACTGTACGGTGGCCATGGAAACGAAGGAACTGGTCAGTTTCCCCAAAATCACCTCTCCAGAGACAGCACAGATGAGGGGACTCAGTTTCCCGAGACTCGATGGCATCTCGACAATGCACAGCCCACGGTCACCTCAGCACACCAGCGTCTCTGCACGTCTTCGAGGCCCAATTTACTCGCCTGGAAATGGTGACCCTGACACCCACGCCCAGGGCTGACTGAAGGAACGAGAAATGGCAAAGCCCAAGTTCTCGGGGAGGTGGGTCGGGGTGGGGTGCCCAGGGCTCTGCTCCTCACCGTAAATCCTCAGAGTGTTCTGCAGGCAACCTGAGCGTCCACCTTCCGGAAGCACGTTCTACGGCAAAGGGTGCCAGGGACCCGGCAGGCCACGTGGCCGTCCACGGCTGACTGTTTCCAAAAGGAGCAGCTTTGCCAGAAAAACAGCAGCCCAAGACGTCCAGTCCAGAAAAATTAAATTATCATTAAATGCACTAATCACCCGGTGATTAATAGTAAATGATGATCATTGCATGCAGGAGAAATAAAGTATCACAGACACGGATGCAGCCACCCCCAGCCCTCCCCCCTCCTCCCTCCTGCCCTCCCAGGAGAAGGTGGGCTGTGTTTTTATCACACACGCATGTGCACCTCGACCACATACTTGTGATCGCAGGAATAATATGCGATGTCGGCGTTCATAATTTATATTAAAGATAATCGGACTCCATGGGTTATTTTGCAAGTTGATTTCATTATCTGACATTATATTTCTGAGGTTTGTCTACGTTGAGGCGCACACATACAGCCCACTAGGTGCAACTGGCTATACAGTATTCCATAGTATGACGCTATCACAATTCATCTACTATTCCTCCAACCACGGGAACATAGGCACTTCCTAAGTTTCCGATTTTGCAAAAATGTGTCTCGAGGAACATCTTTCTCCGTCTGTGCTTCTGCGTGTGGTGGTTACTCTAGGGTGGGTTTCTTTTTTTCTTACTGGGCACTCCCAAAATGCTTTCCAGAGGAAGGGCCCTAAGGTTCATCGACACCCATCTGTGGGTGCATATCCTTAAAACACGTCGACATTGCTGGTTTTTAAAAAAAAAATGCTTGCTGGCCAGGTGCGGTGGCTCACGCCTGTCATCCCAGCACTCTGGGAGGCCGAGGAGGGAGGACAGGTAGAGGTCAGGAGTTCAAAACCAGCCTGAGCAAGAGCGAGACCCCGTCTCTACTAAAAATAGAAAGAAATTAATTGGCCAACTAAATATATACAGAAAAAATCAGCCAGGCATGGTGGCGCATGCCTGTAGTCCCAGCTACTCAGGAGGCTGAGGCAGGAGGATGGTTTGAGCCCAGGAGTTGGAAGTTACTGTGAGCTAGGCTGATGCCACGGCACTCTAGCCCGGGCAACAGAGTGAGATTCTGTCTCAAAAAAAAAAAAAAAAAAAAAAAGAAGCATAACCCGCAGAGCTGCCACCTCTCCGAACTGGGGTGGGGGAATTGGGCACTCACCTGGACGGTCCCCCAGCAGTGGGAAGGCCCCAGTACATGGGAGGGACACAGACCACCCCCAGAGCAGGAAAGCCCTCTGTGACCTTTAACATTGCCCAAAACTGATAGGAAGAAAGAGGCACCTGTCTGGTTCTGGGGCGGCACTGGCAGAGGGTTACAGGGTTGGGTGACAGCACAGCCCACACTCAGCAGAGGCCGGGCACAGCAGGACCTTGTCACCCACGGCCACTTCCCCCCAGCATGGTGCTCCGGGACTTGTCCCTCCTCCTCCCAGGCAGCCAGGGGTCCTCCCCTGAGCGGGCACAGGTGTCAGGGCGGTTTCACAGGCCTGGGCTGTGGCGCGCAAGGGCTCTTGAGTGTTTTTCCAGCTGCGCCTCCTCCCATCCTAGCGAGTGTCTGTCGTTAGAACCGGCCTGCCAGTGCCCCGGAGTCATGACGAATCTGTTCTCACCTCCAGGTACCAGCAGCGCGGAGGTGAAGGAGAACCGGAACGTGGGCAACCTGGGCGCTCGGCCGCTGCCCGCCGGGGACCGAGCGCCGGGCGCGAAACGGAAGCGGCCGCTGGAGGACGGGAACGGGGCCCACGTCTGCAAGCTGCAGCTGCTCTGGAGGAAGCTGTCGTGGTCCGTGACGCCCAAGAACGCGCTGGTGCAGCTGCACGAGCTGAAGCCGGGCCTGCAGTACCGGACGGTGTCGCAGACGGGCCCGGTGCACGCCCCGGTCTTCGCGGTGGCCGTGGAGGTGAACGGGCTCACCTTCGAGGGCACCGGCCCCACCAAGAAGAAGGCCAAGATGCGCGCGGCCGAGCTGGCGCTCAAGTCCTTCGTGCAGTTCCCCAACGCCTGCCAGGCGCACCTGGCCATGGGCGCTCAGAGCCCCAGCACGGACTTCACCTCCGACCAGGCCGACTTCCCGGACACGCTCTTCAAGGAGTTCGAGCCGTCGGCGCCGCGCCAGGGCCTGCCCGGTGGCCGCCCGGGGGACGCGGAGCGGCTGTCGTCGGCCTACCGGCGCGGGCGGCTGCTGTGCCGCGCGCTGGACCTCGTGGGCCCCGCGCCCGGCCCCGCCGGCGAGCGCAACCCGGTGGTGCTGCTGAACCAGCTCCGCGCCGGCCTGCGCTACGTGTGCCTGGCGGAGCCGGCGCAGCCGCGCGCGCGCAGCTTCGTCATGGCCGTGAGCGTGGACGGCCGGACGTTCGAGGGCTCGGGGCGCAGCAAGAAGGTGGCCAAGGGCCAGGCGGCGAAGGCCGCGCTGCAGGCGCTCTTCGACATCCGGCTGCCCGGCCACCCCGCCAGCAGGAGTAAAAGTCACCTCTTGCCGCAGGTGAGAAATCTCGGGTAGCCGCCGGCCAGGCAGGACGCGGACGGATCCGGGGAGCCAGGTGTTGCTCGCGCGCCGAGGGGGGCCGAAGGGGACCGGGCGGGCCCTTCCTCCGCGGTGCCGGGCGCCTCTGACCCTAACCCTGCGGTCCTGAAAGGGCCTTTCCCTTCCCTACTGCCAGCGACGCCCAGGCCCTCTGGACAGAGGACGGTGCCCACGCTCCGGCCTAGCAGAGGGCACGGGGAGGTCGTGGCACGGTGGCGACGCAGCGGCGGCGCCACGCGCCCGGGAGGACAGCAGTGAGCGGGCGCGGTGCGGGCTCCCCGGGCCAGGCCCCAGAGTCCGCGCTCCCGCTGGGTGCCCGATTGGGCCGAGGGTCCCGCTGGGGATACAGAAGAAGGCTAAGCGGGTGGGAATCATCGCAGGCCCCGGTCCAGGTCCCGGAGAAACGTGCGCGCCGGAGGCGAAGGGCAGGGACAGTTAGGGGCAGGGCTCCCCTCCTTGGGCGCGGCCGTCCGTCCCCTCTGTGAGCGCAGCTGCGGGTCCCGCCTTCTTGCCCGAGTTCGCCTTCGCCTGCGCAGGAAACGAGTGTTAGCGTCGCCTGTGTGTAACACAACCCTATCCCACCGAGTCTTGTCGTTGCTTATTCGTGCGGATTATCTTTTCTCTTAGCATTTTGGGAATTGTTTGTGGGGCATCGCTCATGTAGTAGATACATAAAATTATCTTTATTCATAAATTATCTTTATTCATTATCTTTATTTGAATTATCTTTATTCATTTTGGCATCAATCAAAAAAAACATTTGCCGCTGGGGCGTGGTGGCTCACCCCTGTAATCCCAGCACTCTGGGAGGCTGAGGAGGGTGGATCGTTTGAGCTCAGGAGTTCCAGACCAGCCTGAGCAAGAGCAAGACCCCCATCTCTACCGAAAATAGAAAGAAATTAATTGGACAACTAAAAACACATATAGAAAAAATTAGCCGGGCATGGTGGCACATGCCTGTAGTCCCAGCTGCTCAGGAGGCTGAGGCAGGAGGATCGCTTGAGCCCAGGAGTTGGAGGTTGCTGTGAGCTGAACTGACGCCATAGCACTCTGGCTCAAAAAAAAAAACAGAAAATTTTTTTGCACAGCCGAAAAGCACTCATCCTGGTGTGGGATTCCTGGTGAGTGATCGTGAGCAATTGCTGCGATCATTACCATGACCTTACATAGCAACACCTAGAACAGATTCCGTCATTTCGCCTGGGGAGACCCTAGATCTTGAAGAACGCAGGTTCCGATGCACCTGGCTGCCACCCAAGCAGCGGCAGAGTGACAGGCCTCACCTTGGGTCAAGGCCGGGCTTGAGGTGCATCTATTCACCTGTCTGCTGTGTCCACCCAGCTCCCGGGGGCTCAGTGTAGACAGCAGCAGCCCCCGGGGCCGGGCTGGTGCCGGAGACCACGGTGCTCGGGGCTCCTGGGCCGCCTCCTCTCCCGGTCTCTTCCCTCCATCCTCGAGCTCATTTTCAAGAATGTATTGAACACCCGGTCGTTCTAAGGAGTGCATGGGGGATGTTTAGACCACAGATCTCCATCCGTTTGGCCTTTCAACTTACCCTGGGATACACACCCCATCCCAGCAGGCGGGCCGGGAAGGCAAGCACAACTGCCTCTGCCTCCCTGAGCTCTTCCCACCAGGACGGTCTGGCCCCTGCTTTCTCTTTCTTATGCCTCTGTCTTATTTATTTTCCCCTCTTTCTCCTTTTTTTTCTGTTTCTCCACTGCCGTGTTTCCCCGAAAATAAGACCTACCCATAAAATAGGCCCCAGCAGGGTTTCTAAGCATGTGTGCAATAGAAGCCCCACCTCGAAAATAAGCCCTAGTGACGGGCGTGGCTGCGCAGCGCATCTGCACAACCCATGCATGTCGTCGCGGAGCGGGAAAGGAGACAAGCAGCCCTTCTCTTCTGCCCCACGAGAGCTCTAGTGCTCGACAAGAGAGACTGAGGCCAATGGTTCTAAAAGAAATAGAGTCCCAAGACATTCCAGATGGAATTCGGGGTTTGGAGAGTGATGAGGATGTTCCAGAAGACGACGACTTAACTCTATTTGAATCCATGTAGATGGTTGTACCGTACTTAAAAAAAAAAAAACACATGCCCTAAAAATAAGCCCTAGGGTGTCTTCTTGAGGAAATATAAATATAAGACCCTGTCTTATTTTCGGGGAAACCCGGTATCTGTAGCCGAAATGTGCCTTGGAAGCCACTTTATCCCTAACCTGAAGGGGGGGGGGGCATGCGCCCTCCTGAGGCTGCCCCAACCTTGGCCACGACCTTGGGCAGGGCCTGGGCTGGCTGGCGTCTCCCGGGCCTGCTCTGGGAAGTCCCCAGGGGGGGAGATCCTGTGGGTGCCCCCCGGCCCCCATCACCGTCACCGTTTCCACCCATCCCGCCTGGTGCTGCTCCCCGGGGGTGGTCAGCAATCTCAGTCGGGGCCTGACTCTGCCCTGCCCAGCAAGGAACTCCTTCTGCTCCTGCCTCTCTGCTGCCTCCCAGCCTTCTAGACTTGACGGATGTCGGTGGATTCCGGCCGGATGCCTTCTCTTTCACGTTGCTGCCAACCCTAGGCGCCCAGGACGGAGCGGCCAGGCAGCACTGCCGACCACCCAGTAATAGTCATTTGACCCCGGAACGCGGCTCGTCCGTTACAGCCGCGGCTGCTGAGCTATTTTTCTCTGACAGTCCCTAACCACCGCGACCGGGTGACGGAGGCGCAGAGCAGCCGGGGCTCGAGGGCCATTTGTCACGGCGGCTGGCTGCCACTCGGAGACTTGGGGGCAGAGTCCCAGGTTCTGCCCTGCATAGGGTGGACCCACCTTGCAGAACAATAGTCCCAAGTCTGGTTCTAAGATCCATCCACATGTAGTTTTGATAGATGCCAACCAAGATGCTGCATTTATTTTGTTTGTTTGTTTTTAGTTACCCTCCCCGGCCCTGTGCCACGGGCACCCCACGCTGGGCGTGGCTGCAATGAGACAACGGGGCTCCAGCCCAGGCGCCATCAGCACTTTGTTAAATTCAAATCCTGCTTTGCAGGTGATCTCGATTCAGAGAGAGAAAAAAAAAATCAAAAGAAAAGATGTCAAGGGCTGGGCGATGTGGCTCACGCCTGTCATCCCAGCACTCTGGGAGGCCGACTCAGGCAGATCACTCAAAGTCAGGAGTTCGAAACCAGCCTGAGCAAGAGCGAGACCCCATCTCTACCGAAAATAGAAAGAAATTAATTGGACAACTAAAATATATATATAGAAAAAATGAGCCAGGCGTGGTGGCGCATGCCTGTAGTCCCAGCTGCTCGGGAGGCTGAGGCAGGAGGATCGCTTGAGCCTAGGAGTTGGAGGTTACTGTGAGCTGGGCTGACGCCATGGCACTCTGGCTCAAAAAGAAAAAAAAAACAGAAAATTTTTTTGCACAGCCGAAAAGCACTCATCCTGGTGTGGGATTCCTGGTGAGTGATCGTGAGCAATTGCTGCGATCGTTACCACGACCTTACATAGCAACACCTAGAACAGATTCCGTCATTTCGCCTGGGGAGACCCTAGATCTTGAAGAACGCAGGTTCCGATGCACCTCGCTGCCACCCAAGCAGCGGCAGAGTGACAGGCCTCACCTTGGGTCAAGGCCGGGCTCAGGGTGCATCTATTCACCTGTCTGCTGTGTCCACCCAGCTCCCAGGGGCTCAGTGTAGACAGCAGCAGCCCCCGGGCCCGGCTGGTGCCGGAGACCACGGTGCTCGGGGCTCCTGGGCCGCCTCCTCTCCCGGTCTCTTCCCTCCATCCTCGAGCTCATTTTCAAGAATGTATTGAACACCCGGTCGTTCTAAGGAGTGCATGGGGGATGTTTAGACCACAGATCTCCATCCGTCTGGCCTTTCAACTTACCCTGGGATACACACCCCATCCCAGCAGGCGGGCTGGGAAGGCAAGCACAACTGCCTCTGCCTCCCTGAGCTCTTCCCACCGGGACGGTCTGGCCCCTGCTTCCTCTTTATTATGCCTCCGTCTTATTTATTTTCCCCTCTTTCTCCTTTTTTTTCTGTTTCTCCACTACCATGTTTCCCCGAAAATAAGACCTACCCATAAAATAGGCCCCAGCAGGATTTCTAAGCACTTGCGCAATAGAAGCCCCACCCTGAAAATAAGCCCTAGTGACAGGCGTGGCTGCGCAGCGCATCTGCACAACCCATGCGTGTCGTCGCGGAGCGGGAAAGAACACAAGCAGCCCTTCTCATCTGCCCCATGAGAGCTCTAGTGCTCGACAAGAGAGACTGAGGCCAATAGTTCTAAAAGAAATAGAGTCCCAAGACATTCCGGATGGAATTCGGGGTTTGGAGAGTGATGAGGATGTTCCAGAAGACGACGACTTAACTCTATTTGAATCAATGTAGATGGTTGTACCATATTTAAAAAAAAAAAATAATAACACATGCCCTAAAAATAAGCCCTAGGGTGTCTTCTTGAGGAAATATAAATATAAGACCCTGTCTTATTTTCAGGGAAACCCGGTATCTGTAGCCAAAATGTGCCTTGGAAGCCACTTTATTCCTAACCTGAAGGGGGGGGGGCATGCACCCTCCTGAGGCTGCCCCGACCTTGGCCACGACCTTGGGCAGGGCCTGGGCTGGCTGGAGTCTCCCAGGCCTGCTCTGGGAAGTCCCCAGGGGGGGAGATCCTGTGGGTGCCCCCCGGCCCCCATCACCATCACCGTTTCCACCCATCCCGCCTGGTGCTGCTCCCCGGGGGTGGTCAGCAATCTCAGTCGGGGCCTGACTCTGCCCTGCCCAGCAAGGAACTCCTTCTGCTCCTGCCTCTCTGCTGCCTCCCAGCCTTCGAGACTTGACGGATGTAGGTGGATTCCGGCCGGATGCCTTCTCTTTCACGTTGCCGCCAACCCTAGGCGCCCAGGACGGAGCGGCCAGGCAGCACTGCCGACCACCCCGTAATAGTCATTTGACCCCGG